CACTGCGCTGTCTCCCGAGGGCCCATCTGGGACTATGAGCCATGGCCCCAGCCCGCAGAGACCTGAGAGAGAGTTAGGGTCAGGTCAGGGCTCGGTGCGGCTCCCTCCCACCCTCAGCCCCTTCGCAGTCTGTCCCCTCCTGAACAAGGCAGGGGTGGGGGTTGTTTGGAAACAAGATGCTTGAAATCACTGAGGAGGTGAGGGAGGGCCTGCAAACCCAGGGAGACCTCGGCTGGATCAGATCATCTGCCCTGCAAAGGTGGGGCAGGAGGGGAGGGTGCTCCCTGACATTCTACACCCCCCACATCCGATACCCACGTGCCCTTCTGTGCCCTGGGGCACTGTCTGCAAGGGATGAGGGTCCAGAAGGACGGCTGCCTGTGAATTTTAAAATCTACAGACTCTTAGGGCAATGCCAGAACACAGATACACATGCACACATACATCCCTGCTCTAAAAGGTTGCTGCGACTCACTGATCCATGTCACATAAAACATGCCATGCATGAACGTATGTTAAACAACGAGCACATGCGCACCCAAGAGGGTGGGAACCGGCTGCAGGGTGCCCTCCGTCCTGCCCTCTCCCTGTGCCCTGTTTCCAGCTCAGCTCCTCAGCCACCTTCCTCTTGGCTTCCCGCAGATCCTGTCACAAAGCACCGAGTGTCTGAAGCTGTGGGGTGAGCACTTCGGTGGGCTCAGGGATGACCGTGCAGCAAATGAGGGCAAAGGCATGGAGCTTCAATTACCACCTGGGATGAGAAGAGGGACAAAGGTCACATTTGGGGGAGAAGAACAAGACGGTTGTGCAACAACTTAGGTCTCCTGGCCCTTGGCCGCGGAAGTGCCTGTGTGTACACAAGGGACGCCGGGTGACTCGCAGCCCTTCAGCATCACAGGGTGTTTGAGTTGAGAAGGGCCGTGGCAGGTTTCTAGCACTGACTGCCACCCAGGCGGCCACAGGTCCAGGGGCAACTCTCAGACGTGTGAGCAGCCACCTCCCTGCTGGAGCCCCTAGGCAGTGCGGTGACGGGTGTGTATGCACACGTGTGTGCACGAACACTCACTGCCGCCCGGACACCCACCCCTGAGCAGGCTCTGTGGGCTGGCACACAGCATGTGAACCCAGTGACCGGAACAAACTCCACGCGGAGTGCATGGTGGCGGGGACCTCGCTGCCCCTAGATGGCCCCATCATCACAGGCCCATGGCCTGCCAGGCCGGCCCTGCTCGTGACAACAGAGCGAAGGGACACCCTCCAAGAGGGCACAGGGAGCGGGGCTGCGGCGGCGCAGAAAGCTGGGCAAGGAAGTGAAGAGGCAGAGAGGAGAGACCACGCAGAGCCCCGGACACACACCCCTCAACGTCCCACACCACAAGCACACACAGCATCCATCACACACCGCGGCCCCCAGACACACCGCATCACATGCCGAACACCCCCTCCCACATGCTACATCACACACCACAACCACACACAGCAGCATCACACACAGCATGTCCCACATACACCCCACATCACGCAACACAATCACACACATCAGCCACACAGCAAACATCACACACCATGCACGCCATTGCACCCCCCGACAACCACACATATACACACAACACACATACAAACACACACATGACAACCACACATACAAATACACAACACATGCACGCTGACTCCACATGTGCTGCACAAAGCCCACGATCGAGGGAACAGACACAATTGCAGAGACAGAGGCAGTGAGAGAGGTAAGACGGGGAAACATAGGAAGACATAGAACAAACCGAAAGAAGGGCAAAACCAGAAAAAAAAACGTGTGCGCTTTGTGCCCTAAACCAGTGGTTCTCAGTGGAGAGTGATTTTGCCGCCAGAGGACACCAGGCAATGTCTACAGACATTCCTGATTGTCACACCTGAGCCGAGGGGACGCTCCTGTGACCCAGGGAATGGCAGCTAAACACCCCGCAATGCCCAGGCAGCCGCCACACTCCAGTCCCTTGTTCCCAGGTGTCTGCAGTGCCCAGGCTGGGAAACGGAGCCCCAAACGCAGGACTCAGCACCACGCAGGAACCCGGCCCCAGTCCCCACCGTCCCCGGTCCCGCACATGCTGACACACGCATGCATGCACACGGCACCTCCCTGACCCCTTCAGCCCCTGCCTCTGTGGCCCTCAGGGGAGGCCAGCTGCATGCTGGCTGGCCCTGCCCCCGGGCCCCTCCATTGAGTCCTGAAGACTTAGCTTTTGCTTAGAGTTCAAGCTCAGCCCGCGGCGGGGGGCACCTGTGTGAGAGCCAGTCACTATTCACACTCGAGTCCTTCCTTCCCCGTGGGCCCTGAGCTCTTCATTCCCCCAAGGGTGGCCCAGGGACAGACCGCCATGAGGTCAAGGGTATGCTGGACAACAGCCACCCCAAGCCATAGGCTCATCCTCAGAGATAGGGCCATTGAGAGGGGCAATGACTTGCCCAAGTTCTCAAAGTCTTCTTAAATTTGGAGCCTGGGAAAGGGAACTTGGAGAGGGTATGATGGCAAATCTCCCTGGAGGCGGCTAGCCGCTGCGGCCGCCCCGCCCTCCCAGTCTCCCTGACCGCCACTCCCCCCATCCCATGCACCTACAGCCTCCTGTATTTGACATTGGAGCCTGGGACTGTGGGTCGCAGAAGCCACTGAGTCCTCCCCTGCTGCAGGGTGCTGCCGCTGGCCTCCGAGGGGGCCAGGGAGCCCTGCCATACTCCTCAGGAGACGGGGAGCTCCCGCACAGCTCCCGTCCCCTCGGAGCCAGCGAGGTGGCTTTAAGAGGTGAGCGGCCCCCCGTAGTCACCCACATGGTCGCCCACCTTTTCCCACTGTCCAAGCGCAGAATGTTGGGTCCAAGAGGTGAGGGGACGCTGTTGGCAGAAGCTAGTATCTGGCGAAGGCCCTTTGCTGGCCCTTTGCTCCCAGCCCTCTATACCCCTTTTCAGTCTGTTCTCAATGCCCCACTTGACCTGGTGACCCACACAAAGGGGCACGAGGTGGCGGAAAGAAAGGGAAGTCTGAAGCGACTGCTTCCTCCAGTTGCTTTCCTCCTCCACGTGCAAATATGTCACCGCCTTCTGCTCTCCCCAGCAAGCACAGCACTGGGGTCTTTGGCTGGAGCCCAGCCAGGCAGAGAAGGTGGGTGGGTCAGCAGGCAGACAAACACAGGCTTAATGGGCACAAAGGTCCTCGGTTCAAGGTTTGGGTTCTAGCGTCTCCCCACCCCCACCCCACCCTGAACCCACTGACCCCTGGGTGGGTGGGGAAGGCAGCTAATTGAACCGTGCTGTTTGTTCAGGGCTCTCAGGCCTGGCCTCGGGCCAACAGCAGGAGCCGAAGACTGGCTTCCCTTTAGATTTGAGACTGACCCTCCTCCACCTGCCCACGGAGACACGCCACCCTACACCTAAGCGCTCTCTCCTCGCTGCATCCTCCAGCCTTCTGAATCAGGGACACGCGGGACATAAACAGGCTCTGAAGCCAGTGACCCCTACACACCGGGGCTTGGATACCAGGTCCCAGGCCATTGGGTCTGCATCTTGCCTTGGGCCTTCCCATAAGCCAGGGCCTGTGTTCCTTCCCAAAGTAGGGCTTCAACTAACTGATCTTCAGGATGGCTCTCAACTTGCGCTTGGCAGAGTTCTGCGTTGTGGGGCCAGGACGGCTCTGCCGTCCTTCGTCACTGGGGCTCCGGGTCCCTTCCCCTTGCTGGAACTCGGCCTGCCGGCTGGGATGAGGGACTGTGGCAGGGCAGGGGGAGAGGGCAGAGGGAGGGTGGCTTCGGCATCAGCCCTGGGGACTGGGGCTGGATCTGGCCTCTGCCACTGAAGGGCAGAATGGCCCTGGATCATTTACTTTTCTTTTTGAGCTTTGTTTTTTCTCTCTTTGGTAACAGGCAGGTAACAATACCTGCCTCACAGGTGTGACGTAAGCCTACCTGGGACCACTTAGTTAAGGAGCGAGCAGGTGAATAAACTAGAGGTTGCCAGAGAAAGTGTTTATAATACTTGGGCCTATGTATACTAAAAACATTCTTTGTTGCTTATCTGAAATTCAAGTTGAACTGGGCATCCTGTATTTTATTAGGCACCCTACTACATGTATGTTGTGTTGGGGGGCGGGGTCTCTAGAGGCCCCGGGGGGTGGGGACCGCAAACTCTGTCCAGGGCCCAGGTCCTGCCATGGCTCAGCTCTGTTTTGTGTCTTAGCCCATGAGCTCAGAATGAGTTTTCCATCTTTAAAGGGCTGTCAAAAAAAGAGGAGGAGGAGGGGAGGGGATGGGGGAGGGGGAGGAGGAGAAAAGAAAATGAATGTGTCAGAGACTGTTTGCCTGGGCTTGCAAAGCCTAAATATTTGCCTTTACTACCTTGGCCCTTTACAGAAAAGTTTGCTGACCGACAGTTGGTCAGGGAACTAAGGATTTTTGATACTTTTGCACCGACTCCAGGCCAGGTGAGCGAATACACTGGAAGAGTCAGAAAAGCTAAGCCTCCGGCAGGGAAAGCACAACAGAGGGTGAGGGGCCGGCTGAAGGAAAGGCTCTGCGAGAAAGGTGGGCTCCTGCACTCGCTAAAGGCCTGCCTGACCCCTCCCTCCACCCTCGCCTGCCTGGAGTCTCCCAACCTAGCCTGACCCCTCGGGGCCCTTCAATAAAAGGTCAGCAGGTGTCCCAAAGTCCAAGGGAGGTCTCTCTAGTCTCTTTGAAGGCCTTCCCTCCCCGGACTGACTGGCCTGGGGGCAGGGAGAGAGCCCAGGGTGAAGGAGTTTACGCAAGGCCCCAGGTGGCAGGCAGGTCTGCTAGCCTGTCTCTTTAAATCTCAGGTAATTTGGGAGGAGGGAGGGAGTTTGTCTGCACGGATCCCAGGAGCTCCTGCCAGAGGAGCCCGATGAGGGAGCCTCAGCTCTGCCAGGTGTAACAAACTCGGAGCCTCCTGCAGCCTGGCTGAGGCGTCTCCCCGAGACTCCTGTGGGGGCCGGAGGGAAGGAGATGGGGCCTCTGCAGGGCGAGGGCAGGCTGGCCCTCGGGGAGTCGGATGCGGCCCCAAGGCTGAGTCCAGTCGGGGTCTGGTCTCCGCCTCAGCCCCACAAGGAGCCTGCCCTACACGACATGGGGTTGCCGCTGCCCAAGAAGACGGGGCCCATTCTCTGCCTGTGGAGAAAGTTCTGTAGGTGGTTCCAGAGACAGGAGTCCTGGGCCCAGAGCCGAGATGAGCAGAACCTGCTGCAGCAGAAGAGGTAAGCCTCACCTGCTGCCGCCAGCGCCCCCCAGGCGTGCCCCTCTCCCCTCCCCTGCCCTGCGCCCCCTTTCCCCCTCCGCCCTCTCTGTCTTTGTCCGGCACCTCCGCCTGGACAAACTGTGCTCCCAGCCTCACTCCTCGGGAGCATTTTTGTCTCAGGAGTCTCGGCCTGTGGGGCCCTGGGGCTCCGGGCGGACGTGGAGGGCTGGTGTGGACATGGTGCTCGCGGGCGTTAAGATCCAAGCCAGCGCTGCGGCTTCTTGTGGGTGCAGTTGACCCTGGAACAATGGGTTTCGGCTGCGAGGGCCCATTGAACAGCACTTGTCAACTGAAGTGAGCGGGTCCATTGAAAAAATTCGCTCATAAGTGGGTCCGGTATTTCCAACCCATGTTGTTCAAGGGTCGCCTGTATTTTCCAAACAGCCAGACAACTAGATGGGTGTTGGAAGGAGGGTGGCATCAATGAATGTCCACCAGAGAGGTGGGTCAGAGCAATGCCCTGTATCCTTACTCCCTGCCCTTCAAATAACCTCTCCGACAGAAACACACACACACACACACAGGCAGGTGGGAATGAATGAATGAATGAATGAATGAAGCAGGGAGGATCTTCAGGTAACCCCAAAAGAAGGCAAAATGTGATCATGTCATCATAGTTATTATCATTCCTGTGCATCAGTTGCATCAGCTGTTGATGGGAGGGTATGAAGATGGGCTGAGCCGGGACCCAGCCTGGGATTCATTACTCTCTGTTGGGGACGAAGGACGCGGAAAACTGACCAGAACACACTTAGGACCAGTGCTTGCCCACTCTCTCCCCCAGGTTGGGGAATCTGAGAGGCTCGTGAGTTTGAGCCCTAAAGAAATCTTACGTGTTGCTTCCAGCCCCTGAAAATTTCCCGAAACTCATCTGATGCTCCTCCCAATCCCTCATCCCCGGCAGCTTAGTGTTGGGAGCCAGGAGAAGGGGACGTGGCGGAAGGTTGAAGCCCCCCCAGTATGTGATCTCCTTCCAAGCTCTCTGTGGGTCGCCCCACCCAGGCGGTGGCACACCTGAAGGAAGTCCTCCTGTTGGGGTTCCCCTGGGGCCCCTAAGAAGGCAGATAATATGTCTATTCATAGAGGAAAGCTTAAAGTTTGGGGGGGTTTTTGTCTGAGGATCTTTCTCCGCCAGCCAATGGAGGGGCTTGTCCGAGCCTGACCAGGAGGGAGGAGGCTAAGAGGCCCCCTGAAGGTCCTGTCGTTTTCCTGCTTTTGCTCAAGGATTCAAGGATGGGCCCCAGTTTTTTTCCGTTTGGGCTTCCTGTCTCGCACCAGCCACCCACCTCTGCCCCCCAGGCCTGGGAGAGTGGGGGCTGAGCACATGTTTGGCTGGTGACGTTCTGAGGCAACAGAATGCTGCTGTTGTTGCCACCTCAGCCACCATGGGTCCCACTCCGCCCCGTCCCACTCTTAGGACCCCAGGGCTGGGGCGTCAGACTCAGGGCGCAGAAAGGCCTGGGGTTTTGGAAGGGGTGACGGAAGCTCCCTGTGTGCCCAAAGGAGGCGCAGACAGAGTGAAGGACCAGAGCCTGGCTGCGCGTGGGCGGCTTCCACAGGCCTTTCCTGCCCTGGTTCTTCTTAAGACCATCGGTGAGCCTCCTCCTGGGCCTTCAGCTGGGAAGGCCTGATGCCACCACGTGGAGGGATCCCCTCCAGTGGCCGGTCTCCCTGCCTGACTCCACAGCTCCTTGTCCCTCCCCTTCCGCACACCGGGAGCCGGGAGTATTGACTGTCTGCTGGGTGGACCCTGAAATACGCAGGCAGGGGAGAGGACTAGGCTACGCAGCCACCAGGTAGTTAGAAAATACAAGACAACCGCGGACACGAGGACAGCAGAGTCAGGTCAAGGGGGTGTGCGGATGGAAGAAAGTAGCCAACAACGTGACCGGCACCAGTCTTATCTCACAATCCCCCTTCTAACAGTGGAAGGGAGGGTCTTAACCCTCCTCATGAAAGAGGCAGGCCCACAGAGAGCAAGTGGGGTGTGGGGCGTGTAGGGATTTTGTGCCAAGGGCTCAGCGTGGGATTCGGGGTGGGGTTGGGGGGACTCCAGAGAGGGGAGCATGGTCCAGTGAGAAGGGAGGACTTTCTGGTCTCTCCAGGCTGATGGAAAACCCAGCGCTCTTCTCGCGGGGAGGCTTGTCTTGGGTCTCAGTCACACGACCGGCTCTGGGTAAACGCCCATGGTTGCCATCCCAGCTTAACTCTCCCCTTGCTCCTGTTGCAACTCTCCCCGGGCCTGGAGTTGTCTTCCTTCCTGATGTTCAGTGCACTAAACACTTATCGGGCAGGAGGTGCATGGCTATGTTTGCAGAACAGGAGCAAGACACTGTCCCGGCGCAGGGGGGCTCAGGTTCTTGTGGGCAAAATACACCAGGATGCATCTGCTTGGCGATGCTTGGTGAGTACCCTAAGAAGGGGGTGAACAGCATCATGGGAGCACAGAGGAGGGCACTGCGGTGTCTGATTTTGGCCGGGGGTGGGGTGTGCTGGGCAGCTTCCAGAGCTGGCCCCTTGCTGGCACCGTCCCCCTCCCCGCGGTCTGCAGGAGGGCAATGAGCACTGAGCGTTCTCCGCTGGCGAGGCAGACACCCGTAACTACATGTGAATGGATGCGAACGTGGAAAGCCAGCCCTGGGACTTTCCAGTGTTCTCAGGACTCCCTGCCTCAGTAACTCCGTACACATGCGTCTTTGCGGGCACACGGGCCTACCTACACACAGGACAGAGTTGCGGCCCGACCCCAAGTCTGGAAATAGCCACTTTTCTGGAAGCTTTGAATCTCATCCCACTGCCAAGAACTTGACCTGGAGGGAGGTGGCCTGCAAGCGGTCAGTGGGTGCCTCCTCCCCATACATGACTGTGGTTTCCTTCATCTGTGGTCACTGCTCCAGGCTGGGCTCCTCCCTCCAGGAAGAGTCATAAAACTTGAAGAACCACATAATTGAGTGGTGCGTGCCTGAGGCTAGGTTCTTGGCGAAACGTTCTGCTTTTAACTCTGTGTGATCTTCCAGTGGGGATTTGGCTATTCTGCCTCAGTTTCCTTTTCTGAAAAATGAGGTCATTTTTCAGCCTGTGTGGCAGGGCTGTGAGGCACAAAAGGGATAACAAGCTAGATGCTGCTTTGGAAGCTGAAAAGCACGTGTAAGGCGGAATTAGTGCGATGAACAAACCTCACAATGTAGAAAGGCACCCACCGCGATGGCGGGAGCTGAGGGGGCTTGTGAACTTCCTCCTGTCAGAGCCGGATTCATTCTGGCACTGTACTCTGAGCCACTGTATTGTCTGTGCCCTCCCCTTCCCAAAGGACACCCTCCCCCAAGAGGGTGCTGTGGCTCAGCCAGCGGAACCCATGCAGACACGTGCAGTTCCTTGTGCCTCTTCTAACCCCATTTCGAATCCTGGTTACACTGAGAATGGGGACAGAACACTGACAAATGGGGCACTCGTCCCAGCTCTGCCTTCGACGTGTTAGGACAAGCCACCTCAGACTCCAAGCTTCTTTCTCCACCTGTTGCACAAACAGATTAGGCTACTTTTCTAGGGACTTCCCTACTCTAAGATCCTGATTTGAATTCTCCCGCAGGTGTTCTTACCCCTGACTTGTTTCCCCGCAACCATACACAACTCTTTACTTGTGCACACACACAGGCATGCACACATCCTCAGGAATGGAGGGTGAGAGCAAGGGGTGGTGGGAACTGGGAGAAGGGAAGTGAGAGATTCTCATTTGGTGGGGAGAGGTGGCAGGGGAGGTCCGTGATTTGTTTACAAATAATGTGCTGGGTTTCCTGCCAGGGGTTGTATAGTAGGACTTGCAGCAGTATAATGTGGAACTAGATCGTTTGATTTGACAAATAATTGTCCAGCAAAAGAAAACATTCTCAATCCTGCAAACACCTTTCATATTGCTATAATTTCAGATTTGTTCCATAATTTCTTGATGCTCCCTCATCAGTGGGTGCTTAAAAGGCTTAACCTTTTTGTTCAATGGTGTGTGAGTAAGCATGTGTGTACACAGCATTTCACGTCCTTCTTTTATAAAAAACAGATTATGCATAATTATACCTCCAAGTTGGGGCTTCTCTACCTCGGCACTATTGGCATGTTGGGCAGGAAAAACCTTCGTTACAGGAAGCTGCCTGTACAAGAGGCTTGACAGCAGCCTCTCCTCTGCACACCAGAAGCTAGCAGCAGCTGTCCGCTAGTTGTAACAACCAAAAATGTCTCCTGCCGTTGCCCGATTCCGTGGGGAGGGGGCCGGGGATCACCCCTGTTTGAGGACCATTGCTCCAAACCACTGTTTGCAACTAGGGGATTCTGGGAGCAATAGAAAGTATTCTGCTACATAAAATTTTCCCCTGGAAAGGAGAGAATATGGTCTAATCATTCAAATGAGAAGCTCGCTCTTCAGTGTCTCTCCCCCACCCCAACCCCATCCCCCACTCCCGTCCTGCCCTTGGGAGGTATCTGGCAGCCTTCTGGTGGCCAGTGCAGAGTTTGCTCCACATCTGAACTTCTGCGCTGGGTTGCATCAAAGAAACTACTGGTGCCCCAGGCACAAGGATCTTTGGATGGGTCTGCTCTTGCACCTTTTTTATGGGGACCAAGGACAGTCAGGCGTTTCGGGGATCCTCCTTACTGCCAAGAATGTGAGTGAGAGAGGGCTTTCTCTACTGTCCCCTTGTGGCCCTGTGGTGCTATTGCAAGTAATGGCTCTCCCTGATCCCCTCAGAACATCTACATGCTGCCCCGCTTTTTGCTGGGTTCTGGGATTTGCCAACCAGAGGAGGCCAGCTCTCTACCAACCCTGTTGGGTTGGGTTCTAAGCCAGTTCTTTAACCAGAGTGTGGTCTGACTGTGCTTGCCAGATAAAATACAGAACATGGAGTCAAATTTGAAGTTTAGAGAAAAAATATGGTGTCAGTCTCAGAGGAGGGACCTCCCAAATAAGGAACTATCTTCTGGAGGGTCGGCCCCTCGTAGCAAAGGCTTCCCCTGCTAGGTGAGTGTTCTGGGAACCCATCTGTATCAGCGTACCAGCTGGCAGTGTTGTGAGAAGCTGCATTTGGCTCGAGTGAACGTTTTTTGAAGACTCAACGCTTTTGCCCATTTCATGATGGGTGATTTATGAGCTCACCTGCCCACACTGCACTGAGTGTTCAGTGGTTTTTGACTTGCCTGCCCCGCCCGATGTCGCCCTGAGCAACTTTTTTTGTTTCCCCAGTGTGGAAGAGGTGAAACAAAAAAACAGCAGGAGCGCTAAAAGGCATTAAAATTGACAAGCTCAAAAACCTTTTTGAGCAGTGGGAAAAAAGCCTCAATAGGTGTATTGCATCAAAGGGGGAGTACTTTGAAGGTGACTGACATTTAAATATTTAAGAATAAATATACAATTTTTTTATAAATAAATTCTGTTTTGGGGGAGATCCCCCCTCATAAGTATGTCACAAATATTGCATAGGACAGACTTACACTAAAACATTATTTGTTGTATATCTAAAATTTAAATGGAACTGAGCATCCCATGTTTTTATTGGGTAGACCTGGCGAGCCTGCGTCACACAGCAGCTCCCTGACCTTCCCGGGCCCAGCAGGGCTGTCAGCAGAGACGAGGACAGGAGCACACAGAGAATGTTTGTGGGGGACGTCACTGGCTTCAAAGATGTGGAGGGACCAAAAGGGATATATATCTTCGGGCCTGCCACCGACTAACTTGCCCACTCATACCCGAGGAGGCAGGGAGCTACAGCAAAGCTGGAACTTGGGTAGTGAGCACCCTGGGATCCATCCCTAGCTTTGCAATTACCCGTTCATGCATTTAGGCAGAGCTGGGCACGAAACTAGAAGGCAATCAGAGGAGGGCAGGGAAAGAATACAGAGAAGAGAAAGTGGCTGGTTGCTGCCTTCAAGCTCCCTAGTAGAGAGGAAGAGACAGGTACTAGTCACAGCACACACGCCCAGGGGATGTAGGGCCGGGGGAGAGTGCGAACCTTCCAGGGGAGGGGGAGGCCATGTGTCCGTGTCTGTAGCGCTGACTCTACTATATCTACTGCGGAGGGGATTGGCCAAGCTGTTGGGAAGGTGGTGGTGCTGCTGGTGCTGGTGGTGCTGCTGGTGCTGGGGAAGGGTGTACGGCAAACTTGTTTTGCAGCTGTTTGCATACCAAGCATACTATTTTTTACTTAGATTATATGTTTGCTTAAGGTTGGCTTGGGGGTGGCCAATAAAGGTAATAAGGAGAGACAGTAAGGCCACAACGTGTTGTGGCCTTGCTCCTTACGCATTCTGCAGAGAGGAGGGAGGGCTCCCACATGCTGGGCACATATCCCAGGAACTCAGAGGAGACAATGATCGGGGTGGGGGGCACGTATCAGGTGCGAGGAGGGTTGGGGCAGTGGCACAGGATGGTGTGCTCTGGGGCGGCCAGGCTGGCGTGCTGGGTGGGCCACGTGATGTGAAGAAGAGCAGGGAAGGGCGATTTTTTGCCCAAAGACTGGAAAGGACCCCTGGGTTCCGTCTCCTTGGGCATTTAACGACCCATTGGCCTTTTGGAAGCTGTGATTGCATTCGGCATTCAAAAGACTCTATTGGGGGCATCGAGAAGGTGGACTGGGGGAAAACTGGGTGCAGGAGACCAGTTTGGCTAATCTGGGGCTGGAGAACGAGGGCGTAAGTCAGCGAGGGGCAGTCGGAACGAGGAGGAGGGGGTTGACCGGAGAGAGAATGAGATGAAGGAGAATTTGCAGGGCCAGGGGCTGCCAGTGTGCAGGAGGGGGGCGGAAGCCAGGATTGTGGGGGGACGTGTCTCGAGCTCTCCCTCCTCTCCCAAGTGCCCCCCTCGCCCACCCCCAGTGCTGGAGTGGGTTTCCTGCCACCACCAGTCCTTAGCATGTGAGGGCCTGTCTGGGTCTCTTTGTTTGTCACATAACTGGCCATCTCTGGATAAATAGGGTCATTTCATTCACTCCCATAGAATGACCCCATGGCTCTGGGCTGAAAGAGAGAATTGAATGAAAGGGGTCCCATGCGTCTTTGCTGATGTCAGTTTTTCTCTTAAAAAAAGTTTCAAAGTTCATTGGAGGAATAAAACCCAAGAGGGGGTTTGTTTGGAGGGTCAGAAGAGAAGACGATTTTTGCTTACAACAAGGGAGAAACAAATAGGGAGTAGAAGAGAGTATACCCTGACTTAGGGGCCAGGGAAACAAAAACTATGTGCTATTCCTGTTGGATTAAGCCCTAGAGATGCTGGTAGAGGGAGGGAAGCACCAGGATCAAAGGGCCGTGCCCAGAAGGCCCAGGAGGAAGAGCACCAAGCAGTGGGAGAAAATCTGCTAAGCTCTCCGTGGTGACGTCCTTCACAAACAAGAGGGAGGAATGCCTGGCAGTCCTTGTCCTTCAAAACAAGGTTTATCACGGAAGGTAATCTGAGGACACTTAGTGAACCTGACTCAGGGTTGCTGGGAAGTCAACAGGCCAGGAGGTGAACGGGTGCCTCAGTAAAGCCTCTCCCCTCCATACCTAACACGCACAGATAACACATTCACACGCATTCTGCCGCACGCACCCAGGAGCAGGAAACCAGTCACTGAGGTTTCAGTTAACTCACTGGTCAGGACAAAAGAGATCAACCAATTCTTTGCAACTCAATGGCCTCACTTCCCTGCACCAGGGACCTTGGGGTTCATTGTCACTGAGCAACGTGTTTGTATCCAAGGCAGCAAAGCCATCATCCCTCGCTCCACCGCTGGGCATGCTCACGGGGGCCACCTTTCTGATCCCATTCCCTTGTAGGATCTTGGGGTGTCCTCTCCTTCTAGCTGCCAAAGAGAATGATGTCCAGGCTCTCAACAAGCTGCTCAAGTATCAGGCCTGCGAGGTGCACCAAAGAGGTAAGGAAGGAGCTGAGCCCTGGATGCTGCTCTCCTCTTGGGTCAGCCCCAAGCGCTGTGGGCCCTGAAACCACACTTGTGCCCATTCCCTGCCCAGAGAAGCCCCATGCCTCTGCTTTCTGTCCAGGAGCCGTCGGGGAGACAGCGCTGCACGTGGCAGCCCTCTACGACAACCTGGAGGCGGCCACGGTGCTGATGGAGGCTGCCCCGGACCTGGTCTCCGAGCCCATGACCTCTGAGCTGTACGAGGGTGAGGAGCTGGGGCGGGGGGTGGGGGAGGGAAGCAGAGTCCTGTTGGGCATTTCAAGCCAAGCTCTGTGGTGGATAAGTCGGGGAAACCAAAGAGGGAATCTGAGCCCCGCTGCTCTCTACTCGTTTCTCCCTGGTCATCCTTACTGCACCTCATTAGAGCACAACCTGCCGAAATGGAGAAGCCCGGAGAATGGGAAGAAGTGGGTGGCAGGCGGATCCCCTGGGGAACCGGTATGGCCTAGGACTCCCTGTCCCCACCTGCCAGGCTGCTCAGGTGTAGGATCATGTGTGGATATGGGATATGGGATATGGGGCCCCCCTGCATAATCCTGGGCACAGACCCCATGACTGAGGGCTCCCTCTGAACCAGGTCAGACTGCACTGCACGTGGCCATCCTGAACCAGAACGTGAACTTGGTGAGGGCCCTGCTCGCCCACGGGGCCAGCGTCTCCGCCAGAGCTACAGGTGCAGCTTTCCGCCACAGCCCGCACAACCACATCTACTTCGGTGAGAGCCAGGGCCAGGGCTGGGGGCAGGGAGGCGAGTGGTGGGCAAGAGCCAGGGAAGGGTGGGCTGAGGAGGGCCCCGTGCCTGGGGAGGCTGGGCTGGGGGGCCGTGGGGAGGGGGGGCCTTAGAGGGCTTAGGGCCAGAGCCAGGTCCCCCAGGGCCCCCGCACCATCCCTGCCTCGGGTTCTGCCGACAAGCGTCCCCAAGCCCAGCCCTGAGATGTGGGGAGAATTCACCCCCGAGCCTGCACTCACGCCCCGGAGGCCTGTGTGTCCCCAGGGGAGCACCCTCTGTCCTTCGCCGCCTGCATGGGCAGCGAGGAGATCGTGCGTCTGCTCATCGAACATGGAGCGAACATCCGGGCCCAGGACTCCCTGGGTAAGCACGGGGAGCAGGGAGCGAAGGGGAGCGGAGGGGCCGGGACAACCGTCACGCCCACCCCGGGGCGGGCGCGGGGACCATCAGGGACGTGGGTCCAGTGGCCACGTGACACCCGTGTCCTCCCCCAGGAAACACAGTGTTGCACATCCTCGTCTTCCAGCCCAACAAGACCTTTGCCTGCCAGATGTACAACCTGCTGCTGTCCTACGATGGGCGCGGAGGCCACCTGCAGTCCCTGGACCTCGTGCCCAATCACCAGGGCCTCACCCCCTTCAAGCTGGCGGGAGTGGAGGGCAACACTGTGGTGAGGAGCACGCCCTAAGCCCACGGTGTCCTCCTAAGGACCCCTGTCCTGCGCTTTTAGCCCTTTGGGGAAATAGATGTAGGCACGCATCCCTGATGCCTAGGTCCCATTTTCAGGTTGGAGTGTTTTTTTCCAGGCCCTGTTTGCCTTGTCCCCTGGTCCCTTCCTTGCCCACTTTCTCTTCCCTGAGGTCCTGGGGGCTCATAGAGCCTAGATCCCACCCTGAGATGATAATGCCCACACCTACTTCCAGTCCACAGAGTGGCAGCGCTCCAGACTCTCACCTCATCCCCAGCTTTAGAGGGAGGTGGGGAGGGGCGTCAGAGAGCAACCTAGGGGGTCAGCATGCACATGGGCTCTCTTGCCCCAAAGTGGGTGGGGGTCACTGAATGAAGAGCAGCCGCCCCTTTCTGTGATGCTGTCCTCCTGGATCTGCCCAGCACCTCCACTCAGCGACCCTCCCCTTTGCCTGCCTCTCCCGACTCATTCCCCCACCTCCCTTAGATGTTCCAGCACCTGATGCAGAAGTGGAAGCACAGCCAGGGGACATTTGGGTTGACGAGCTACACCCTCTATGACCTCACGGAGATCGATTCCTCCGGAGATGAGCCATCGCTGCTGGAACTTATTGTCACCACCAAGAAGCGGGAGGTACGGGGGGTCTTTGGGTCAGAGCACCGCAGGGAAGGGGTGCCAGCGTCTCTGAGCCACTTGCTCTGTTGTCTTCCTGCTGCAGGCTCGCCAGATCCTGGACCAAACGCCGGTGAAGGAGCTGGTGAGCCTCAAGTGGAAGAGGTACGGGCGGCCCTACTTCTGCCTGCTGGGCGCCTTGTACGTGCTCTACATCATCTGCTTCACCATGTGCTGTGTCTACCGCCCCCTGAAGCCCAGGACTGATAACCGCACCCATCCCAGGGACAACACCCTCCTGCAGCAGAAGCTACTTCAGGTGACACCTGGGAGCAGCAGGGCCTGCCGCAGGATCCACTCTCTGCCCGGCCTCTGACTTGTATCACCTTCCTGTCCTACAACCCACATTTCTCCCCTCGCCCAGGTCTCAAACACATACGCACAACCTCCAAATACACACACACAGAAACACACGCGCACTCCAAGAGCAGAGTTTGAGAGAGCCAAACCCACCAGGTTCAAAAGAACCCAACAAGGGACACTGATCGCCGGCCAGGCGCAGGCAGGGCGGGCGCACGAGACCCCGCGTGCTCTGACCACGCTTCTCCCCTCAGGAGGCCTACGTGACCCACCAGGATGCCATCCGACTGGTGGGGGAACTGGTGACTGTCATTGGAGCTGTGATCATCCTGATCGTAGAGGTGCGGTGTGGCCTGGGTCTCGGGTGCGGCTGCCTGCCCGGAGGATCCAGCCCAAGCCCCAGCCTAGAGGTGCTTTTGTGTCTCCGCAGATTCCAGACATCTTCAGGGTGGGGTTCACGCGCTTCTTCGGACATACCATCCTCGGGGGGCCGTTCCATGTCCTCATGTGAGTCTCCTTCCTCTCACTCCCTTCCCTTCCACCATGAGTTTCGCCCGCTGGGTTCCTGACCCCCGGAGAACCCCTGGAGAGCCTGAACCCCAGAGGTCCCTCTCAAGTGATGTGTGTGACCCTGTGTACTGCGCTTGCAAACACTGAATCTGAGCGTGTGGATACTGCCTCAGTCACACTCTTGCGCTCGGGTCCCCAGGATAATCCCAGACCCCTCTCATCACCCCCTGCACCCTGCTCTCCCCCAGCATCACCTACGCCTGCATGGTGCTGGTCACCATGGTGATGAGGCTCACCAACACCAGTGGGGAGGTGGTGCCCATGTCCTTCGCCCTGGTGCTGGGCTGGTGCAACGTCATGTACTTCGCCCGAGGATTCCAGATGCTGGGCCCCTTCACCATCATGATCCAGAAGGTCTGTGCCCCCATCCCCCGCTGCCCCAGCTTCCTAGAGAAAGGGCCCAGAGAAGGGACCGCAAACATTCCCGTTAAGAGCCACATAATAGATGATGTCTCAGGCTTTGTGAGTCACACAGTCTTGGTTGCATGTTCTTTTCCTCCTCCGTCTCTTTTTTTCCCAAATCTTTAAAAATGTAGAAACTATTCTTAGTTCAAGGGCCATACGGAAATAGACCAAACAGCTCTGGCCGGCAGCCAGAGTTTGCCAAACCTGTCCAAGAGGGTGGAGCTCTGAGGGTTCCCAGCTCTGCTTGAGGCTGGGGCGGGCAGTGTCCGGAGCCTCCGCCTGATCCTCCCCCTCCCCTCTCTAGATGATTTTTGGTGACTTGATGCGATTCTGCTGGCTGATGGCTGTGGTCATCCTGGGCTTTACCTCAGGTAACCCCCCTGTTCAGGATGGGGGCCACGGGAGGGAGAGGTTGCAGGAGCCTAGTGAACACAGAAGGGCTTGGATAAACTCGGGGAAAGATGGGAGGGGGCAGAGGTAAAAGGGGTCATGGTGTCTGAGGATGGGACGTCCTTCGGAAGTGAGGGACAACTGGGAGTGTGGGGGAGAGGTGGCCCTTGGGATCAGAAGGATGAGCCATGTGGAAAATAAGGCAACCTAAGAGCCTAACGTATGGGATAATGAAGGGCTGGGATGGTGCTATGGAGATGGGGAAAAGGGGCAGTGAAGAGCTGGCTGGGGTTCGGTCACGCCCTGGTCCCCCTCACCATGGTAACTCTCACCCCTTGGGTGGAGCAGCCTTCTATATCATCTTCCAGACAGAGAACCCCGACGAGCTGGGCCACTTCTACAATTACCCCATGGCACTGTTCAGCACCTTTGAGATGTTCCTCACCATCATCGATGGCCCTGCCAACTACGACGTGGACCTGCCCTTCATGTACAGCATCACCTACGCTGCCTTCGCCATCATCGCCACCCTGCTCATGCTCAACCTCCTCATCGCCATGATGGGCGACACTCACTGGCGGGTGGCTCATGAGCGGGATGAGCTCTGGAGAGCCCAGGTGAGCCCCTTGGTGGCTGGGAGGGCTAGTGCAAGTCCTTTCCTTGAAAGACTGTGCCAAATTCAGAAGCAGGGTATTTTGACCCTGCCTATGTTTGGACCATGATTGCACAGTACACAGAATAATGCAAAGTGTACAGTAGAATTGGGTTGACAATACCACCACGCTGTGCTGGAATAGCTGAAAAAGATTCCTCACAGTTGGCTCAAAAGTTAAAACCTGTCTTTTCTAGAATAATCAACATGAATTAAGAGTAAAGCTAACAGTGGCTAAAATGGCATTTTGTAAACTTTGCTACTGAATACAAACTGGAGTATTCCCATCTTCTTGGCAATATTCCAGTCTTCAAAATTTGACCAAGAAGAACAGGACATGTTAAAAATAATGCCACAAAAACTCCCTGATAGTAGCAGAAACTATCTTCAGTCAGAACATCATGGTGGGAACAAGAGACCATTAAACAAATCAAATCATCACTTAAAAATACATGTAGAAAGTAATTTATCTGAACAAAAATAATTTCTGCAAAATAAAAAATGGAAATCCTGAAAATTGGATGGCATTTAACTGTGTTGTATAGAAAATGGAGTTTTAAAAAAAAAAACCCAAAGAGTAAACTGGCTCAATGGGATTTGCTGAGGAAAATATAATTTCCAGACAAATGTGCTGATACTAGATGTCTCAGTAGGATGTTTGCATTTATAAATGGCCTGTGTGCCTATAGGGCTGGAATGTCCCGTAGCCCTGAAGACCTGTCTGTTTGCTTTGCTCACCTTCCCATTGTCCTTGGAGCAAGTCACCCAACCTCCTGCAGAACCAGCCTGGAGTCTGCAGGGTGCCAGGTCACTGGGCAGGGGACCCGAGGGCTCACGTCCCACCGACTCCCCCACAGAAGAGGCCCACAGAGCTGACACCGTCCTCCCCAGCTCAGGGGTGCCATTTGTCCCCTCTGGGAAACCAGAGTCCCCGACTTCCCTAGCTGGTGCCTAGCCATCCTCCCTCTGCCCAGCACCCTCCCTTCTCTATGCTTCAGCTCTGTCTATACTCAGCCTCTTCCAACTTCCCCTTCCGTCCCCACGCGCAGGTTGTGGCCACCACGGTGATGCTGGAGCGGAAGCTGCCTCGCTGCCTGTGGCCCCGCTCTGGGATCTTTGGGGGAGATTACGGGCTGGGGGACCGCTGGTTCCTGCGGTGAGTGAGAGCAAGGGGCTGGGCGTTCCTCTGACCTCAGGGGGTGGGCCTGTGCCCTCCCTGGTCCCTAGCCCCGAGGGCCTGGCTGCTGAGGGGCTGGAACCCCCTGCCACACCAGCAGCCGTCTGCAGAGGAGACAAGCAGCTCCAGCCCTTCGCCTGCAGACACTTCTCAAGTCCTCTGTCCTCCCCAGGGTGGAAGATAGGCAGGACCTCAACCAGCAGCGAGCCCGCCGCTATGCACGGGCCTTCCACAACCGGGGCTCCTATGACTTGGACAAGGACTCAGAGAAACTGCAGCCGCGCCGACCCTCTGGCCCCAACCTGTCCCATCCCACCCCCTCAGTGTCGCGAAGCACCTCCCGGGGCAGCACCAACTGGGAGAAACTTCGGCAAGGGGCCCTGAAGACAGAATTGAAGGGTGTGGTCAACCGGGGTCTGGAAGAGGAGAGCTGGGAATATCAGATCTGAGCGTGTGTCCTGGCTCTGGTTCCCAGGAGTTGCTCTTACATTCCTGGGAATGTTACAAAACCCAAACCAAAACTACCGAGCCATTTAAGCCCCCAAGTCAAGGGGGAAAGGAGTAGAATAGCTGGGAGTAGCCATGCCCAGGTCTCTTCGCTCAGCTCTGGAGCAAACGGAAAGCCACGAGGTGGCTGGCACCCCCTCTTCGGCTTCAGTGGAGTCCGCTGCACTGTCAGAGCAACGCACTTTAAAGGCAGGCTTGCCCCCTTGGCACCCAGCCTCCACCCTGGGGTCAGAGCGGGAGGCACCACCCTGCCCAGCACTCCAGGGAGCTCTGGGGAGGCTGGAGAAAGAGCGTAAGGGGACAAGCACCACTCGGGTGGGGTGATGCTGGCTGAGTCTTGTCATCTCCTACCTTCCAATAAATTGTTCCCTGCTCTGCTCGCCTGCTGTGCGGTGTCACCTTCCCAGCATTCCTTGCACTCCGAGGCCTCACCACACCTCCAATTTGCAAATTCCCTTCTTTCCCTTTAATGTGGGGAGGGAAGGTGGGAAGGGGCAGAGAATGGGAGAAGGAAGCATCCAGAGGGTTGGGCCGAGTGTCCCGGGAGCGAGAGGCCAAGATGGGGACTGGCTCGTGTCTCCCACGTCCCTCCTTGGACCTGTGTGCTGGCTGCCTCCTAAGCAGGGTCAGTCATGGCTTCCTGCCAGGGCCTCAGACCTCCACGGCACCTGGCTGCCTCAGGTGGTGCTGAAGGAGCCGGATGTGGTGCAGCAGTTTCTTCTGGTGACCAGCCAGGGTGACGCCCAAGGCAGGCAGGTCTCTGGTGGGGAAGGAGTGGATCAAATCCGGGGCGGCTTCTCCAAGATCCCAGGCAGGACCCAGGCCTCGGGCCCAGAGGCTCCCCCTCCCACCTGTCCCTGCTTACTCCAGGCTGAGCTGAGCCACATCGCTGAAGGTGCGGAGGCCACACCTGGCGAAGTTGTCCTGGTAGCACTCTAATCCAATGGCCGAAAGCCAGGCCTGAGGTGAGTCCAGAGAAGGAAAGTCCAGGGCCACAGGGTTCAGAAGGGCCTGGGACGGTCTAAGTGAGGAGGGGCAGGCAGGTCAAAGTCCCCTCTTCATCCTAGCCCCCGCGCCTCAGTTTTCTTTTTGGTTTGCATCGACCCTCCCTGGCTTTCCCAGGCTCTAGCCCCAAACTCCAGACCTGTCCCCAGGGCTCCTGCCAGTCTGCAGAGTCTCTGGCTTGCGAATCATCTTGTCAAATGCAGCCACCAGCTGGTCAAAGTGGGGACGCTGGGTACGGTCTTTCTGCCAAGTGTCCAGCATAAGCAGATGTAGTCCAGGAGGACAGCCTGGAGGTGGGGGCAGCCGGAACTCCTGCTCTATTGCATTTAGTACCTGGGGGGATTAGAGGAAGAATATGGTGAAGGGAAGCCTTTGCAAGTGGAAAGGAGCACATTGTTACGTAAGGGGGTGGGCTGTAGAGTATAGGTCACAGTGGTGGAGGAACTTCAAAACAGAGAAAACAAGAGCCATGAGATCCTAGGGAGGGAATGGATCAGAGAATGGAGGCCTTAGAAAGTGCGAGTCTGTGAGCCTGGTGGGTTGGAAGGATGGGGGGTGGGGGGTGGGGGGTGGAGAGGCCGCAATGTCTATGCCCAGGGCTCACCTCCTGGTCACTCATGTCCCAGTAGGGCCGCTCTCCATAACTCATCACTTCCCACATCACTATTCCAAAGCTCCAGACGTCACTGGATGTCGTGTGTTTTCCATGCGCAATGACCTCTGGGGCTGCCCAGCGAAGCATACGACTTGGGCCCTGAGGGGTAGGGTCGAAAGGACCAACAGTGATAATCACAGCGACAGCCCCATTTATTGCGCCACTACTCTGTGCTCGGACGTGAGTCACAGGTTTCACCTCAAGCATCTCCCTTAATCCTCGTATCTTCACGTTGCAGGGGCTGAGGCACCGAGCAATAGGAACTGGGCAAAGTCACAGAGCTCAGGGTGGGTGCTCAGGGTCTGCGCCCAGCTGCTCTGATTCGCAGGGGTGTCCAGCCTTTTGGCCTCTCTGGGCCACACCAGAAGAAGGAGCGTTGTCTTGGCCACACATTAAATACACAAACACTAACCAAAAAAAAAACAAAAAAAAACCTCACGGTGTTTTAAGTAAATTTACGATTTTGTGTTGGGCCGCATTCATAGCGATCCTGGGCCACCTGCGGCCCATGGGCCACAGGTTGGACACCCCTGCTAGATGGAGCCTGTGACCTCTAGGGGAAGGGCAGGAGGTGGGTCTAGGTTTCTGAGGTCTCCCGCCTTCCCCAGTGGCCTCAGTTCCCGAAATCCTTCGATGCCTCCCTTGCCCGGGCTTCTCTCCGGGACGGAGCACAGGTGAGCTCCAGCCCTTCAGACGAGATGATTCGCTGCCTGAGGCCCGCCCCTCCCCCAGGTTCCGGCTCATCCACCAGCGGGGGACGCTGCAGAGGCCCCCGGCTGTGCTCTCACCTGAGGGCTGTGGCCAAGACGGGCCACTTTGCACACCAGGTGGCTATTCACCAGCACGCTGTGGGCAGAGAGCGCTCGGTGGACGAAGGCAAAGCTGGACAGGTACTGCATGGCGGCGGCCACTCCCCGCTGCATGGCCACCAGCTGCAGGCTGCTGAACTGGCCCTCCCGCTGCTGAGGGGCAGAGGGCAGAGGTCAGCAGCTGAGAGGGGAACCTTGATAGACACACACAGCAGGTACCCATCAGCATGAGAGGGTGGGGGTTTGGAAATCTGAAAACGGCCTGGGCATGGAGGCCGAGGACCACTGGAGGTGGGCAGGAGGGAACAAAGCTATAGGGCTCTGCCTCTGGAACAGTCTAGAATGGCCCGCCTTCCCAGGCCCAAGGGCCCTCCGCCTTCCCCCAGGCCTACTGACCCTGAGGAAGCTGTCCAGGGGGCCCAGCTCCATGAGCTCAGTCAGCACCATGAGGGGCCGGCTTTTGGTGACCACGCCCTCCAGCCGCAGGATGTTGGGGTGCTGGAACTGGCCCAGCACTGCGGCCTGGCCGAGAAGGGTCATCTGCAGGCTCTCGGTGCCTCCGCTCCACAGGGCCTGGATGGCCACAGCCTGCTCCCGCCGTCCCCTGGGCTGCAGCCGGCCTCGGCGCACTTCTCCGAAGGAGCCTGGGGGTCAGGAGGAGGTTGGGTGGTGGGCTCACGGCTTCCGGCCGTGATCAGAAGGGGCCCTGCCAGGCCCTCCCTCCCCACTGGTGCGGTACCTGCCCCAATGACCTCCTCGATCCTGACATAGGCAGGATCCACCTCCCGGGCGAATTCTCGGACGGCCTGGCAGGGGTCCTCGTATGTGGACGGGTCGATGTAATACTTCACCCCCAGCCCTGTAGGTGTGCGGGGTGCATTATGAGGGTGTGGCGCAAGGCGGGGTCACCCACACACCACAGGCGTGCCCCCTGACTTCCAAAGAAGGTGCCAGCAAGGTCCCCTCCACTCAGGGGAGCCCGGCCTTGCTGGGTGTGCCCTGGCCTGAGCCTCCAGCTCTTTATCTCCGAGGCCCCCTAACCTGGCCCCATTCCACACCCCACCCAACCCCTCACCTGGGCTGCTGTACTGTTGCAGCTGCTCCGTGTAGCCTGTCCCACGCCGCTTCCTGAGGGACAAACCCGGGTCCTGGGATGACATTCACCCCTTCTCCTTCCCTGCCCACCCCCACACAGGCTGCTGGCTCGCCGTTCCTCCTTCCCACCTCTTCAGGGAGGGGCTGGGTGTGGGGGCTTCCGTGCTGGGCTTTGGCCGGCCAGGACTTGGGGTGTGAGGTGGAGTGAGGGGCGTGGGGACGTGGTGTGGAGGGGCTCACCTCTGGAAGACCACAGCCAGCACGGTGATGGCTGCCAGCAGGAGGAAGGCCAAAGCCCCCAGGATGGACCCGATCACCAGGGACAGTCTCTCTGGAAGCTGGGCAGACAGCTCACCTGAGGAACCAGCCGCCCGGATCACAGGTGGTCAAGGCCTCGCACGTGCATTCACCAGCACGCCCCCACCCACTCCCACCCACCACCCACAGACCCGAAGGTCCGCGCTCGGCCTCGAGTTCCTTCCTCACAGCCTCTGGCCTGGAGGGCCCTGGGCCTCTCTTCACTACCCCTAGTGCCCCCGACCCCTGCCCATCTATCCAGGCTTCCTCTCACCTTGAGGCAGTGTCTGGAAATAGACCTTGCCCCCGTAGGGGCCGTGGCCCGCGGCAGTCCTGGCCCGAACCTGGAAGCCATAGATGTGGCCGGGGCTCAGCTGCGTCACGGTTGCCGTGTTGGTCTCGCTGGTCAGGGTGAAGGAGTGGGATTCATCTTCTGCCTGGGGGTGACAGCCACTCACTCCCTGCTGGCCTGTCCCAGCCCCTCATCCCTGCTCCTACCTCCGAGGCTTAGGCCCTGCCCACCCATGCTCCTGGGCACCCCTCCTCATCCCGTCTAAAACCCACCCTCCACCTCTAGCCCCTCGCCGGGCAGGGAAGCTCCCCTCAGCCCTGCCGAGCTGCCCTGCCCTGCCCCACCTGGTCGTAGTAACGCAGCTGGTAGTCCAGGATGTTCCCGTTGGTCTGGTCTGGCTGCGGCCAGGACACCGTGATGCTGTTGGATGCCCGGCTCACCTGGTGCATGGCTGGGACTGCGGAGGGAACTGGGGTGGGGGAAGTCAGGAGGGGGTTTCTGGGGACCAGGAGGTGACAGTGGGGGAGGGGTCCTGAGGAGGCCAGGAGGCAGGTAAAGCCTTGGGCGGAGGAACAGGCTCACCTGCGTGGCTGGTGCTGACATTAATGGCCGCAGTCTGGGGCGGGTCGGGGCTGAGGTCTGACACCCCGTTGACGGCCTGCACCTCCAAGATGTAGGGAACGTGTGCGCGGAGGCCCCCAACTAACACCCGGCTCTCAGTCAGGCCCCTCTGGCGGGGGTCGAAGTGCACCTCATCCCCACAGCGGTGACAGGCACCCCCTCTGCCAG